CTTTCTGCATTGGTATATGGTTTGTAATGGCCTTTTTTGTTGTTGTTGTTGGTCAGGGTCTCAGTCCGTCACCCAAGCTGGGGTGCAGTGGCATCGTCACTGCTCACTGTAGCCTCAACCTGCTGGGCTCGGGCAATCCTTCTGCCTCAGCCTCCATGTAGTTGGGACTACAGGCCTGGGCACCGCGCCCAACTCTTTTTCGTTGTTGTTGTAGAGACAGGGCCTTGCTATGTTGCCCAGGCTGGTCCTCGAACTCCTGGACTCAAGCAATCTTCCTGCCTCAGCCTCCCAAAGTGCGGATGATGGCCCTTTTTACTACCTATATCACCTAAATTCACTCCTGGGACACATAAGGGCGAGGGCACGTGGCAGGGTGAGGGAGAATACAGTTTAACAATAATACATGCTGTTTACTTAGTGCTTGCTAAGGGACCAACATACATGGAGATTCTCTAACTTAGCTCTAAGGGGTAGGAACTGTTATGCAAATTTACAGACAAGGAAACTGGGGCTAAGAAAAAAATGCAGAAGTTTGCCCAAAGTCACATTGAAGCTTTAACGAACACTTTATTTAATCGAGCTGAAGGCTCTCATCCTATGTGAAGAATCAGTAGACAGGCGAGAGCAGAATCTTGCCCCCAAAGATTCCTATCCAATCTTGCCAGTTTTAAGCAGGCCCTGGTGCAGGCCGCAAACCTTGCTGCAAGCGATTCTCCTTAGGAGCAACAAGTCCAGCGAGCCTAAAAGTGTGTGGGTGCCATCTCTGGAGAAGCCGCACTCCCCCACTGTCTCTGGGGCCCTGGAAGCTTTCAAGGATCCCAAACGCTCCCACTGCCTCTCCTTTCCCAGCACAGGCCCCTATCGTGAGGGCTTCCAGCTCCTCACTCTGCATCCCCGCCTGGGGAGAGATCCTGACAGGTGGACAGTGGGTGCATCGTCGTGGGGTCCTCTGGAGTTGAGCCGGGCGGCCCGGAGGCCTCTCACTTCCTTCCCACCACCCCCGCAGGCTGAGCTCTGCCCCGCGCGGGGAGACTTGGCACTGCAGTCAGCCTCAGGGCCGGCCGCTCGCCCAGGGCCGCGGACCTCGCGGCGGCTCCTGGCCCCGGGCGGGAACTCGCGGAGACCCCTGCAGCCTCCGGGTGCACGCGCAGCAGAAGGCGCCCCAGCGGGGCCAGGACTGGGACCCGTGCGCCCGAAGCTCCCGGACCGCCGCCGCTCCCCGCTCCTCCCCTCCTGCCGGGCTCTACGGCCAGAGGCCGGAGCAGCTGGCTAATTTTTCACGCCCCCCAGACCGCCTCCCTGGGTGACGCTACAGTCTGTGCGGTTCCTTTAAAGGCTGCGGGTTCCGTTCTTCTTTCCTTTTCCACTGGATGCCAAAATATGCAAATCCGGGGACCGGAATCTGCAGCCAAATCGAGAAGGAGAAGGGGCGCGGCCGGCGCGTCACCGGATCCGCTCCT